GGAAAGAAAGAAAACACAGAGTGGTCACGAGGAGATGGGATTTTGCTGACAGTGATAAAAAGCAACGATGGTAAATGTAAAACGCTACAGATTCTTCGCTTAAAATTTCATTATCAACAAGTTGAAAATTCATATAAATAGAAATAGCTTAACAGCTACGTATTCTAAAAAGAAATTTCATTCGTAAAATGTAAAATTCTCGTTTCATCAGTTAAAAGCTGTCATTAAAAGCTGCCGAGATGTCATGTGGGCGAGTCGTGCTCGCATCCCCTTCATGTAAAGAATTACGAAACAATAAATTAATACTTTGTCGCCAAGTTCACGAGGACTGACTGACATTACTTGGTAATAAGATACTGTACTTACTGTACCGTAAGTCACTTAAGTTAAATTAATCGTAGATTCAAGAGTATAAGAAAGCATTTTCATATTCTTCGAGGCTTCATTGAAAATCAAGACGATGCATTGCTTACACGATTTGCTAATATAAAAATAATTGTTGGTCGAATTAAGATATCGAATAACAGAATGAAGTATTTGCTGATGAAATTTTGGCCCAACTCTATGCCCGAGCAATTTCCAATAAAGATAATTATAAATCGTATGTTGAACTTTAGTATTTAATAATTAACGCAAGGATCGTAAAAACGTGAATTGAAGAACAAAAAAAAAAAAAAAAAAAAAAAAGAATAATAATTTATTGCCCAGCTAATAATGAATTATTGGTTTTGGCGTGAAAGATGAAAACTCAATGAAGAGGTGGAGAAATTTCGATAGGTAACTACTTTACTTTTGGAGTATTTATTTGATATTGAAAAATGAAAAACAACATGGTTGGATTGCCCGGGTGAAATTTTTTTTTGCTAGAAGCCGCGCGAGAGACCTTCACGCATTCGGCAACGAGGAACAAGGAGCAATACCTATATGGAGCGAGTACGGGGCCCTTGCCCATCTCTATTTCTCGGCTTTAAATCTCACATGTTCGAGCTTATATGCGGGCAGCACCAATACTGGCAGCCGAAGGTGCTCAAAAACTTTTTTATATAATGAAACGAGCCGAAGTGTTGTGGAAAATACAACGTTTCAATGCTTTTGACTGAACAAATCTACTTTTATGGTCGTTAGTAACACATCGACTATCTAGAATTGGAGGGCGTACATACATAATACGCACACCCAAACACACAAGCGCGCGCGCACGGACGCACACTCACACAATGTACCAGAGAAGCTAATTAAAACTTTTTTAGTGGAAACTCTGTTTGTTTTATCTCATTGGATATTTTACTCTTGTATTTCTCTCTTTTTTTTAATTCGCTGCTCTTTTACGAAATCGATTTTGTTTTATTTCATATGTCGAATGAAATAGTAAGAGGAAGCTTTTACTTAAGTAAACTTTTTTCGTTGAGTCTCTTTCACGAACTATAATCAGCAACGCAACGCAAATCGTCTAATACAAATTACAGTCATCTTTAATTTAAACAGAGCTGAATATTACTTCTACTCGCAATAATACGACGAGTAAATAAATAAATAAATAAATCGATATTCATTGTTCTTCTTCTTCTTCTTCTTCATCTTTTTTTTTTTTTTTTTTTGCGGCTTTCACATATAAATTTACCGAGTTATAAGGTGAGCTCGTTATTATAACTGTGGCAAAGCATCGCATGGAAATTAAAAGTTTTAACTCCATCGGCATGTAAAACACGTTTCCATGATTTTCCCACACATATCGAAACTATCGATGTGTATCGTGAACCACTCTCTAATAACGAATATCAGATGTATATCGCTCGGCTCATTCCGGCACAATACACACATACTCGCTGCATCAGATAGCGCTGAGGATATATGCTCCTTCTTAATAATATTAGGAAATGAGCAATAAATCGTAAGATTTGCCGATATAGGAGATGAGTTATGCACGGTTGGGCGATTGGTGAGTTATTGGGGTTGGGGGTCCGAGGTACCGGAGGGAGTGGCGAGTGGGGGGTGGAGGAGGAGGAGGAGGAGGAGGAGGATGAGGAAGGGGGGGGGGACACCGTCAAACAGTTATCGCTACATTAGCATCGGCACGCGCGAAGACGGTTGATCAACGGCTTTTAATTTTAAGTGAGCGAGCCGTAAAAAGCTGCGAGCTCGATCCTTGGATTCGTCGTGCTTTAGGTAGAATCGATGGGGCGGGCTGGCGCGCGCGGATCACGCGAGTCGAGGCGAATCACGCGAGTCGGACTCTGCCGGCTACAGTCAGGGCCGGGGGCTGGTAAGGAGCGCCTCAAGTCCAATCGCAAGGTCGTATCGTGAGCGCGCGCGCGCCTAGTGAGGAAGGGGTCGAAGGGAATGGCGCCGTTGCCGCTCTTTTATAGCCGCGATGGTAGAACACACGCGGGTCTCGCGTGACTTGGCGACGTTCGAGCCCCCGTAGCCAGGGCCGATCGGGTCGGCCGCTCGCCTCGGCCTATCCCGGATCGAGACCGGATACGGCCGTTGTAGACTTTCGGTCCTGGGGATATCGAGCGCCCGGGACGAGGAAGCGCGTCACGGAGCGGTGACTCGGCTCTGCGGCCCCCGTGGCCGTCGACCGATGTTGCCATCCCCCCTAGCCCCTTACCATTCCACGTCCTTCGCGCTACCAATCGTCGCCGCCGTCATGTCGAAAGCATGTCAGCGTGCCAAGGCCGGGCCTTGGCATGACACGGTCACCCATGAATACCGAATGAGACTTTATTACTTTGATTGTAGTGGCTGGGACGGCTCGACGCGCGCCCACCTTGCGCAACCTCACCGTATAAAGTCAACCGTCCGTCTCCACCTCTTTCCACCCTTCTCCTCGTCACCTACTCGCCACTATAGTATCGCTATATACTCGCCAGTCCCTTCGGTCCCCCTACTCACTTCGACATTACGGCCCTTTGACCTTTGACAGCCTTCCTCCACCTCTATTTGCCCTCCCTTTTGCCCTCCCTCTGCATTCGTTCCCCACCCTCGTCACCAGTTGTCGTCTCTCACACTCGGGCGGGGGTCGTTCGTTAACGACCTACTCGCACGAGAATACGCGTCACGTATCACGATTTTCAAAGCGTCGATAGCTTTTTGCTGGCCACGAGATTCCCATTGACTCGTTGAGCCGTGTGTCGTTATTGTCGCGTTATCCACGCGCAAAGGCGCTCGGACTCGAAGCGTGTGGCTTCCCGTTTGATTAGGTTTTGCTGCGAGGACTTCTTGATAGATGAACGAGTCGTTTTGGCCGAGGCTTCATCTCGATTCAACGACCATAACTACTTAAATGGCACGTTAAGAGCCGTTATGATCAGGACGCGTCGATTACGCGCGATATAATTTTCGAAGGTGGATTCGTACGAGGCCCCTTTAGATCTATGAAACTCACCGCCACTTAATCAATTAAGTGTGATTTAAGCTGGGTGATTAATGTCGACCAACAATGCCCTTCGCGGCATTGCTTGCCTTACAATGGTAATACAAAAGTTAAAGCTTTGCATCGTTAACATCGATCATTTTCCTTTTTGGATTATTGAATGAAAGGAAAAAGGGGGGGGGAAAAAAAAAAAAAAAAAAAAAAAAAAAAAGAAAACAAGAAGAAAATAACGAAGAAAATTGCCGATTAATTGCAATTATAATGGATGGCGGGAGGACGTGGTGGATTTATATTTATGATTTACGAGTGAGTCAATTGCTTTCGCAAGATTTCAAAAGACTAGAATACGATGTTCCTGAATTTTAATAACAATAGCCGTACATGACTCTTTTTATAATATTACAAAATAGACATTTACACGCAATTTTGCAAGTAAATTGTGCAAGTTTTCCCTACTATCGTAATATACAGAATAATTCGTATTAATGACATATCGACAAGAAAATAATGACAATAATAATAGTAACAACAACAGGAACAACAATAAAAAGTAATAATTAAGGACTCTCGTGATGGAGCTCTCTAATTAAAATATACCTATTGAAATTAGAGCACTCGATATAAATAATGAGAGCGAGATTAAAATCTCTTCTTGAAGATTAACAGCGTAATGATGCGGGCAGGAGGACAAAAGTTAAATATAAGCGAGTTGCAATACTTTGTTTTTTGGTAAATTGTAGTAAGCGTTGACATGAAATAAGACCCTGATATTTTCAGCAAACTTACAGGCGCGCAATTAAGGATGCCGCCATGGAAATTTGTTATCGATTATGTAACGGTGTCGTGCGTAATAGCTTCATAAAAATGTACCGTGAATTATCGCTGCTCTTAAATATTCCTTTATCCCCTTATCCTATATACCGCGTAATTTTTATGTAAAAAATACAACTTTCGTAATTTTTCTTGGCAATTGTGCTACGTTATATACGCTGTGGGAAATTCTCGGCTCTCGGTGAGAGGTGCGAGACGAGTCTGAGCTGCTCGTCTTTTAGTGTTGTACGTGCAGCTGTGGCGTGAAATTCTCCATAAGAATTGTAAAGCCCTTTGAAATAAGCGGTAATCGGTTGTACGCAGTAGTGATCCTCGTGTGGAAGTAGGGAGGGAGCAAGATCTGTCATTAAAAATTTTTGCCGGGGAATAATGTTGGCCTTCTAGGCATTTGCGACGATAGCTTAAATGGCCCACTGCTTGCTTATACCACGGCCATATATTCCCATTAACGCTGCGGTTTTCAAAAATTTCCAATTCCTCATAAATCTGTGTTATTTTTCAGCGAGGAGGAGAACGACAATTACGGCGAAAACGGATGATAATATCGATAGGGATAAGAATGGAGCTTGGCTAACGACATCTCGCCAGTGCGTTGAAAATTCAGGGCCGTAAACAGCGCTGTCCAATCGAATCCGCCGCCCAAGTGTCTTGATAAGGAAACTCCGAGAATGCAACGAGCGAAGAGAGACGAAGTGTCTTGATGCCGAGCGATCGAAGAGACAGAGCCAATAGAGTCTTAGTATAGTAGCAGGAGAAGGAAGATATCAGAGGGTATCGCTGCCGAGAGACTGAGAGTCCCGTTGTCGTGTGCTGGTGCATGGGCGGATGCGTGGGTGGGACGGGACTGGCGAGGTATCATGAGAGCTCCCGCGGGTGATGCCGAGGCGAGGATGGAAGCGGGACTGTGGTATCGCTCGACGTGGATCATCGGATGAGCGGAGAGGCCAGGTTCCAAAGGTTCTAGAGAGGCTGCGAGATGGCGGACGAGGCCGAGCGCCGCCGGAAGCTCGGCTACCTCCTCGCGGCGATTCTGCTGCTCGACGTCGTCCTCACATGCTTCGGCCAGAAGCCACTGAATCTCGGGGGCATTAAAAGGCGCGACGTTTACATCGCGGGTCTCTTCCCTTACGCGACACACGTGCCGGAGAGTATCGTGGGACGGGGTGTTATGCCGTCCGTTAAGCTCGCCGTCGACCACATCAACGAGAATCCTAATATATTGAGGAATTATCGGCTCCACATGTGGTGGAACGACACTCAGGTGAGTTTGCGCTTTCTATTATTAACCATTAATAATTCCTTTTATCAATTCGTTCCTTTTGCACCGAGCGACGATTTGATACGCCGTGGTAGCCATTGCTGCCTCCTTCTCTTAATTAATCGTTAATGAGTTAAAAATCTTGGTAAACACGTATATCGACCGACTATGCAACAATTCTTATCACAGGTAATCTTTTGACAGAGTACACTCCAACGGTTGCAATTGTTCTAGGATTTTTTTAATAACCATTTTATTTCTTGACATATTTTCTGAAATAATTACGATTCATCGTGAAGGTCATTTTGTTTGTCTAAAGGCCGATATTTATTATTCAATTGATAAATTCATTCATTCGTTTAATCGATCAAGTACAATTCATACGGTAATTTTTAAATCAATGATCATTTCGACAATTTTCAGTGTTCATAAACGTTTCTCTACAATGGTATTCACGCTAGTCAATAAGTACTTGAATGGCAAGCGTAACGTGGATTTATGCGTCACACACACACACACACACACACGAGAGCGCGCACACATATTACGTGTGTAAACGTTTGACGTTCAAGTACTTACTAACTAGCGTGAATATGTTTGTGGGGAAACGTTTTTATCGTAGCTAACAAGGAATATAGTTAAGTTGTCGTGTAAACATTTTATAAATCATCGTCTATTGTTGAATTTTATTAGGGCTAACATATTTGTAGATTGAATACTTTTTGTAATTTAGTAAAATAGCAATTCAATAGAATTTCTACAACTCCATCAGCGTAAATCCATTGACGATAAAAATAAAAATAAAAAAAAAAATAAAAAAACAATATAAAGAGAACCAGCATCGCGTACCACAAAATTCACACCAAAAATCGAGGAGAGGGGAGCAATTATAAAAATAATATTTTAATAAATTTGTTGCTATAAATGAAGATTATAAATAATTCGGATTTTAAATAAGTCGCTGGCTAGAGGATAGATAGGTTTTACAAAGGGTAGAGCCCATTAACGGAATTAAATTTTGAAGAATAACGGTATTTTCTGTCCGAGATGTAGACTCGTTTGTTCAATGTCCCAATGAAAGGCGAACGAGAAAGGTCAATTTCTTTTTTACGACAGGCCCATCGCCATCATAATCGAGACTCGCATCGTCTCGGCTTCCCGCTCCCCACGAATATCGATTCACGGGCACTTTCGGGATAGGCTGGGCCGTCGCTGACCTTCCACCTCTCGAGCGCCGTGGGTGATGGCGCCTGTCCAGGTGGACCGCTGCACAAGTTCGCAACCGTTTACAGCATTCGAGAGACAGTTCGACGCACTCGTGCTTTAATTAACGCTCCGATAATTGTTGGGCGACACGGAAGAGTAATGCACTCGCTCGCCTGCCCTTCTTATTTGAGCTGCTGAAGCTGCCCAGAAGCGGTGACCCTCGGCGGCTCCACTGCTAATAGCTGCGCACTCGGTTAACGAGCTTCGTGGAATGTAATCGTCAAATTGGGGGGGGGGGGAGTGGTCGATCCTCAGGGCGACGAAGAGACATTCGGCCATTTCGTCTCGTTTCGTCCACTTTCTGCTTGACTTTTTTCTATGTCAAGCAAATTGATGATGTTGATGCTCCGCGCGATGGAGAGGCACTGCTATCGACTGCTGGCCCGAGTGCATGATTGGGTAAACGGGCACCTAAACGGGCCAAAAAATTCCGTTTACAACGAGAGGAACGAGTTTATAGATATATAACGAGATAATAGCACGAGACGTTCTTATTGTCGATTTTAACGAGCATTCATCCGGGTGACACACTGTACTCGAGTCTATCCTATTAGTTATGTAAGTTGTATGTCATTTGTCGTTATGTAAACAAAAGCCAAACAAAACAATAAAAAAATTAAGCGAAAAAGAGAGTAATTCGTCTTAGTTGTGTAGAAATGCGGGAGGGATAGCGAGGGGCGGAAGGATCTTCCTGATTCAAGGTTTATTAAAATTTTAAGTGGAAATATGGCTTTTCGAGCACAATATACGATTTGTGTGCAAAGGCATCAAGATCCATCTATTAAAAGGCGATTCTTTATCTGAAATTGCTACAGAATGTGAATAAAAGTAATCTCGGTGCGCTCGCTTGCGTGGAAATAACGAAAAAACTACTGCGCGTCCTGGTCGGAACTTTATCTCGCCGAGTATTTTTGGAACTCTGGAAATCTTTTATCATCTCTTGGCGAAGTAACTTTTATAAAAGTTTCTTGGTCCTGTGCCATTACCTATGGAAAATCTAATGAATTGCAAAATGCTGTACAATCGACAATTACTCAATACTGTCCACAATGGGAGGTGCTATTCTTTATATTGTTAGCGCCAATTACTCCCTCATTTTCTCGAGCTATTCGAATTTCCAGCAGTTTCCCTGAGCGCTGGAGCAAGCGTTGGATAATGCGTAGACGCTAGGACGCCACCATCACACACAGAATCTCAATTAAAAGTTCTTCCAAAGAGGAGAGGCAATAGCCGAAGACTCATACCTATTAATACTTTATTGCTCCTCCCTTTTCTCACTTATTCTCCAACAGCTTTTTTTCGATTCTTTTATGTTCCTTTGCAACACACGACAGAGTAAGCCAAGACGACGTCGACTAATTTTCACAATTTCTTACCTAGATTAATTATCGTAATGAGATAATAGAAAAAGCTTACGTAAAACTTGAGAACGAGCTGTACATTTCATTCCGAGTGTTAATTTAATCATGAAACGAAACAAGGACTCTTTTCATTAATTGCATTTCATAAATAAGTACGGATAATTGGGATCGAGAAAGTTTGTACGATTATCGCCCGTACAAATGTTAATAGCTTAATAATATAATCGATATAAACATAAAGCAATAATTAAAATTCATCGATCTTCGAGAGATGGATGACAATGTGGGGGGAGGGGGGGAGCACGGAGGAAGAGGAGAACGACAAGGATGATAAAGCGGCGGGAAACGAGAGATAGCACTGTTAAATATTAAATAGATATATATGTATATATAACTAGTATTTTTGATAATAATAAGATATGAAAGATAAAGCTAATTATAATCGCGGAAATATTATCAAAAGAATATATAATTATTCGCATTGAATGGAGCAATGGAGAATTCAGACTGGCTAATTACCATTGAAATTATGCCATGCTTTAATGGAATATTTTCGAAAATATAACGGGCCGTCGCAAATTATGAAGAAAATTTACGAAAAATGAACGATTCCGTTAAACGCTGGAAATGAGTTTATTAAGACGGTTAAACAACAGCTCCTCGGCACTTAAATAATCAAAATGTGTCTTAATAGTTATAGATGTATAAATGTATGCTCGTTCCTTTTGTTCGATTGATTTCCATCAAAATTTCCCGACTACATTCCGAATCGGCAATGAGCTCTTTGCCCGTGTTCGCACAGCACCTGGCTGACGATGAGAAATGAGCAAGTGAGCGCGATAATGGTAGCATCGATCGGCCTCTCGAAATTGTCTATGCTACCGCATAGGGTCTCTCTCTCTCTCTCTCTCTCTCTCTCTCTCTCTATGTGCATGTCTCTATCCCTCGTGTGAGCTCGACTCGGCCCTTTATAAGCCCGAGTTCACGCCGTCCGCGACCAGCGGAGAACTACAATGCGCCTCGTCGATTCGGCCCCAAAATTTCGAAATCCGGCCTCACTTACGTTCGCGAGAATTAAATTTTCTCGATTACCATGCAAACTTTCGTATGATGGGTGTCGCATACTCGACGGACGTAGCTGCCCAGCTCGAGACGGCGCATATCGCGTCGCGTCGCGTCCTGTCAGCCTGACAGAGCAATTTGCAAAATTTCCTCCCGTTGGCAGTTGAATGGCCGCCAGTCTGTTTGTTACCCTTCAAGCCAACACGTGCCATACGATACGTAGGACGAGCGGATGAAAAAAGAATCGTAACGATTCTCGTTCTCGATCGTTCGTTAACGGAAGCGAGCAAGCGAGTCGCTCTTGACCCGGAAACCCTTCTATTTTTTAGCTGCAGTGCGTGGAAAATGCGTCCGATCTGACGATAAGAGCCCAATCACAACTGCTGACAATATTGGGGACGCCTGGGTACCCCCCCCCCCCATCACCCATCACCCCTACACCCCCTCCAAGCCCCCTCTACCCATTTAGCCACTGTCCAGCGGAGGAATTTGCAAGTTTTCTGCGCACTCATGAGCTGGCTCTAGAATCTAAATTGCCCATTCCTTTTGTGCGCGACAGAAACGGCCCCGCCTGCCTCTAGCGCGAAAATTCGATTCTCGAATCCGATATCCAGTCGCGTTAATAGCTTACCCGAATTCCACGAATTTCCGAACAAACTCCAACTTCAGCTTTTCATTTGTACTAGTCTATTGATTTATTGTCCTTTATTTCATCATTTCCCTTTGACGTTCTTCTATGCGAAAATTCGCACTTTTACAACTGACAGTTGCGTATGGAAAATTAATTAGCATTGATTTGTTGAAAATGTTATGATAACTCACAGTTATTCTCGAATCGCCCTGATAAAGACTTTCATTTATAGCTTTCAACTGGCTTTTCAAGAAAGTTTTCAACGTAAATTGTTTAAATAAAATTATTTTCCTCTGTTAATTCAGCTCATTAGTTGCTACAAAGGAAGGGAGACAGAATTTTCAATTCTCAAGGCTATTTCACATTTTCGCATAAACAAGAGTATACGCGGGTAAACATTAATTGCTTGTACGTACATTCTGATTATTGAATTTACTTTATATTAATTCTCTCTCTCTCTCTCTCTCTCTCTCTCTCTCTTTCTTGTTCTTGTCATTTATCTTCTGGTAATAAATCATTATATTAACGATTAATCGTTCGAATAAACATAAACGTAAATGCTACCGTATATATTGATTAGGATATAAATTAATTATTAAACAAATGTATGTGTGACGCACACACACACACACACGCGCGCGCGCGCGCGCACGCACACAAAAATGGCGTACAAAATAAGAACACGAATTTCGCAGGAAGAAGGGCATTAATTAATATTTAATGATCTTTGACACGTCATTGGGTACTCGCCGAATGACTATCCACAACAGTGCCTCATTACTGGCTATGAAAATTGTTAATTATCGCTTGGGATGGGTACTGTAGAGTGTCTTATTAGAATATTTTCTGATTGCACACCGATGAATTTCCTGTTTTGATGACAGGCTACATCGAGCCAAGGAAAATCAATATGGTTTTCAGTGCTGCTCCGCGCATCCTGTATTTTCGTAATTTCAATTCTTCCGTTAATTAATCGCGTATCAATAAAGATAATTGATAACTGCTGGGCAAGCCGCTTGCCAACTTCCTCTCTAAATGCACGAGCACATCTTCCTTTCTTGTACTCGACTAAACTTTACATTAAGCGAAATGTATCGATAGAAGGAGAACTC